TCTTTTTAAAAAATATTATTTGTAAATTTTGCTACCATTTTTTAAAATATTATTAAATCTTTTTTAACAAATTTAATTTATAAAAAAGTATAGAAAATAATTTTCATTCCTGCCAAATTTTATATGAATATATACTTGAAAATAAAATAAAATAATAATTATATAATTGAAGAAAATTTTGCAGGAATTTCGTACTACTAATTTTTTGCAAAAAAAAATCTTACCTAGAAAAAATATTTCGCAAATAAATTTGTAATAATTTTTTGTGAAATATTTTTCTTAGAAAAAATTGTAACTATTTTTTACCAAAAATATTTTTGCAAAAAAATTCATATGAATTTAATGATTTTTTAGTAGTGATAAGAGTAAATTGAGCATACATCCAGGCACAACAAAAATGTATCAAGATCTTAAAAAAATATTTTGGTGGCCTAAAATGAAGAAGGAAGTAGCACAATAGGTAACATCGTGCTTAGTTTGTCAGAAAGTTAAGATATAACATCAAAAATTTGATTCTATATGGGTTATCATGGATAGATTAATAAAGTTTGCTCACTTCTTATCCATTAACATTAGGTATTCATTGAAAAAACTGACTAAATTGTACATAAGAGAAATTGTGAGGTTACATGGAGTTTCCTCTAGTATTCTTTCTAATAGAGATCCTAGGTTTACTTCTAAATTCTAGGGAAGTTTACATCAAGCCCTTAGGGACTAAGATTCATCTTAGCTCAACTTATCATTCTCAAACTGATGGAATTTCATAAAGGACCATCCAATCCTTAGAAGATTTATTGAGACCGTGTGTGTTAGAGGATTCTGTTTGTTGGGATCAATACTTACCATTGATTAAATTCACTTACAACAACAATTTCCATTATAGCATAGATATGGCACCCTATGAAGCATTGTATGGGAGAAAATGTAAAACACCTTTATGTTGGTTTGAAACTGGAGAAAAAATAATCTTAGATCCTAACTGATTCAACAAACCATGAAGAAAATTAAGATGATTTAGGAAAAATTAAGAACAACTCAAAGTCGACGTGAAAAGTTATGCTAACAAGAAAAAGCAACCCCTTGAATTCCAACAAGGTGATCATATATTCTTAAAAGTAACACCTACAACTCGAAGTTGGTAGAGTAATAAAATCGAAGAAACTCACTCCTCGATTTATTAGTCCTTATCAAATTCTTAGAAAAATAAGTCATGTTGCTTACCAAATTTATTTACCTCCTTTTCTTTCTAATTTTCATAATGTTTCATGTGTCTCATTTAAGAAAACATATTTTTGATCATTTTTATGTAATAATATTGGATACAATATAATTAAAGGATAACCTTACATTTAAAACAATGTCTCTATAAATTATCGACAAGAAGATTAAGTAGTTAGGAGGTAGACAAATTTAACTAGTGAATGCTATTTTGAATAAAATAAATGGAGATGTCACGTGAGAATTAAAAACAAAAATCAGAGAAAGTTACCTTCATTTGTTCTAATTAATAAAAATTTTGATGAAAAATTTCTATTAGTATGAGAGAAATGTAACATCTCAACAATTAGCATGTAAAATTTTTCAAATACAATGTATTAAATTATATTATTTTGGGTATTCAAATATTTTTATAATAAAAGAAAAATTAATTATTATTAAAAAAAATTAATTATTATTATTATTATGAAAATATATATAAAAAATGAATTAGTTATTAATTAATAAAAATAATTAAAACTTAATTAAAAAAAGAGAGAGAAAGGAGACTTATGTCTTTAAGAGATAAGGATGTATTTAATGAAAAAAAATTGTGGTTATAAATAAATGTGGGGAGGAGAGGAAAGTTAGGGGAGAAAATAAAAAGAGAAAGGATAAATGAGAGAGAGAGGGAGAGAAAAAAGAGAGAAAGAAAAAGAAAATATAAAATTTTAGTACATCATCTCTAATTACTAACATAGAGGAAACATATATTTATCATTATACTTATTTATTTCTACTTATGGTTATGGAGTGGGGTGTCCTATCTTCATTCTATATATTTTATTATATTTATTTATTTCTAGTTAGGTATTGGTGGTATGTTATATTTATTTATTTATCTCCAATTACACACTATTTATATTATCTTCAATTAAGCAATGATCCTAATTTATTTATATCCAATTATGCATTTGTTGTGTTTTATATTTATTTATTTATTTTCCAGTTATGCATTGGTCCTCATTTATATTTCTTTATTTATCTCTAATTACTGGACTAAATTTATTTATTTATCTTCGATTCATGTATTAGTCATTGTTTATTAATTTATATTTATATTATTTAATTGTTTTAAAATAATAATAATATTTTATTTGTGAAGATTTGATGACATTGTAGATGAAGATTGGACCATGAGAATTAATATGAGTAGATATCACTTAAAGAGTGATTAATTTTGGACACATTTATCTTGACTACTCACTACAATTTAATTCAAATCTTCATAGTATAACATAAATGGAATATGTTGAGTTTATATATCATTTTGAGATTATATTATTTTACATGATAATTGTTCTAACTTTCTATTGTTATCTCTTGGGTATGTTACAAATAAAATATCAACCTAAATAGATTAAGGCATCAAGATGAAGATAAGTATCATTGATAAATCAACCTAGGGATGGCAAAATGGGGCAAGCCTGACAGGCCAACCTGCCAGCCCGCTAAAAATATGGTAGGACGAATTAGTACTTTTAACCTGTCAACCCATTTTGCCCCACACTGTCAAGCATGCCAGCTCGCTTGGGCAACCTGTGGGACAGGACGAACCACACCACAAGAAATTTGACAATTAACTAGGAAAATTTGCTACAAAATTTATTTTTCACTAATTTGTAGCTAATTATCGATAGAATAGTAAAAGAATAAGATTATAGTTAATTTGTAGCAAAATAGTTAGAAGACTAATATTTTTGTAGTTATTCCCTCACTTAGCAGACAAATAATTTAGCTAGGAAATTTTTTGTCACTAATCCTTCGCTATAAATATTAGTTATGTTACTTTCTGAAATTATTTCCTAGCTAAATTATGTAACATACAATCATAGGTAAACTATAACAAATATCAAATTGAAAAGAGTATTAAGTTGCTGGGAACCATTCTCTCACAATTTCAATGCAAATTTGTTAGAGATTTCTTTACATATCTCTTGCAAATCCAAGTTAACTTTCTACTAAAAATTATTTATTTTCTGTATTTTTTTTGCAAAAAATTACTTTAAAAAAATACTTGTAAATTTCTCTAAAAATATATAATTATAAAAAAATAATTTTGATCTTTTTTAAAAAATATCAACAAAAATTAATTGCAATTTTTTCTTAAAAAAATTATTTAAAAATTATTTTTACCAAATTTACTCTAAATATATATATATATTCTGTAAATTTTTTATAAATTTAAATTTGTAGAAAGTATTTAATAATATTTAAATTAATAGAAAATTTTATAAATAATATTTTTTATAAATCTTTTTAGAAATTAATCTTTATAAGAAATAAAAAAATTATTATATTTAAATATTTATTTAATTAAATATTATTTTAAATATAAACATTTTTAATATAATAATAAAAATATTTTTTTTAAATTATAAAAATTTATAATTTTATAATAAAAATACTAAATTAATCTTTACCCTTTCTTCAAAAATCCCCTTCCCAGTTTGAATTAAATCTGCATCTCACTTTCAACTAAAACCTAGCTCACGCTAACTGCTGCTACTGCCGTCGTCGTTGCGGTCGCCATATCAAGTTAGCCTAAGTTTCTTAAAATCAAAAGTTGCTTTGTATTGTTTACACTTTGCTGTAATAAATGAAAGAAAATTGGGAGCCTTGATGCGAAGTTAAAGTTGCTTCTTGGCGCCCAGTTGAACATGGGTTTGAATTGGGAACCAGCCTCTTTGCTTGCAAATATGCTAGAGTAAGGTTGCGTTACAATAACCCTCAACCATACCTTTATATAGCCAGAAACCTTACAGCACTGGGGTACGCTATTTTATTTATTATTTTTTTTATAAATGATTTTGAGTAATTTGCATTAAATTGTTATGGACATGGACTAATTAATTTAATATTTGAGTTAGTTTTCTTTGAATCCATCTCAGATTCAAGTTAAATCTGTGATAGAAACCCAAAAATTTTGGGTTGTTCTAAGTTGATTTAAATTCAGATAAAAAGGCTGTGTAGAATGATTTGAGTTAATTTGATGTTTATAAGTAAGAAGATAATTATTTAAGATGGTGATGTTACTAGAATTTTCTGTTTCCTTTTTTGGATATATGAATTAGTAATTGTAGCCTAATGTAGTGTTACTCTCTTGTGTGCTATTGGTAATTGTGATGTATGCTTATTTTTATAATTAGCATATTAGTGTTAGTTTAATGAGTTGAAAGCTGAAATTGGGTGATATTTGAATAGATGAAGGAACTAGAGTAGGGGAATATCAGAAGGATTAGGGGAGGAAGAATTTGGTGGTGAAAAGGAAGGGGAGATTGAGTGCAGGGTAGGTTTGTGCTATCAGTCTGGGTTTGCTTTGCTATCATTTACATTTCCATCTTGTAAGGAGCTTTGCACCATTAATAATCATTTATTTTATTTTTTTCTTAGGTATCTTACTGTTGAATTCCTCTGTTATGTTTAGTCCTTCATTGGTGGAGAGGGGATTATTAATATCGATACTGCAATTACTTTTATAAAATTTGGGTTCTTAAACTCCTGATTAAATAACTTCTCCAGATGTCCATATAAAAGGGAGGTAAATAACATGGTAAAACGAACTGAACTTTCCCTTTGAGTTAAAATTAACTTAATCACATATTTTTTATAGAAGGTCTCTCATTTAATTTCTACAAAATCTGAAATACACTAGTTGATTCTAAATTATAGGACAAACTCAGTTTATTTAATTTTTACAAAATCTGAAATGCACTAGTTGGTTCTAGATTCTAGATTTTAGATTAAGCAACTCCATTTTCATTTATTATGGCAGAAGTACTGCTAGCACTGCTAACTTGATTTCCAGTTAAGTAGGAGTTGTGGCCTGTGTATAAGAAATAATGAGCCAAAGGAGAAGTCTATGTTATGGTGCACCTGTAGATAAAAAACACACCAGAAATATGAGAAAAGTTCAAAATATATATATAATTAGAAGATCATGATTAAGTGCATGAAATTATAATAAACTCCTCAAACTATATCAATGGTGAACCAAATATATAGTATAGTACCTCAGCAAGGGGACCATTAAGGTCACTCAAGAGGTAACAATAGGCTTTTGGAGTCTAAATTTCCCTTACTCTGTACATAGCTAGGCAAAGACAGATACCTTATGCTTTTGGAGCATGAATATTGTGCCAGCATGAAAATTATAAGAGTTGAAGTCTTTTCTAAAGCCTCCAAATGACATTTTGAAAAAATTTATTGTCAACCTCTTTCAGATATGAATACACCTGATTCAGAAGGGAAGAACTTGCATCAGTATCTCAATTTCAATTCAAACATGGGTTGGATTCACACTCCATGTTCTAAAAAATATTTACCATCCGAAAAAAGGAAAAAACGGAGTTTTTGTTCACAAAAATGCCTTGAGAAAGGTCAAATGTATAGAACCTTTCAACAAGATAGTTTTTTTTCAACTCTCTCAAAATAGAATCTATTCCAAACATATATACCATGGTTCCTTACCTCGACGGGGTACAAATATCTAAATTTCATATTTTTAGATACTTTTTCAGACCTATTGTCGATACTAAGTAGCAGCCAAAAATTTGTATCCATTTTTCATGATATTATGCATGAGTCAGATATATTATGGCGAATTCGTCAGATTCCATTGTGTCTTCCACAATGGAATCTAATAAGTGAGATTCCAGGTAATTGTTTACATAATATTCTTCTGTCCAAAGAAATTAGTCATCGAAATAATGAGTTACTATTGATATCGACACATCTGAGATAACTAAATGTTGAGGAGTTCTTCTATTCAATCCTTTAGGTACTTGTTCACTTCTTTTCCTTTTTCAGTAGCTTCACTATAAATAATCAAATCACCTAGAGTTACAATAATTGATTGAATCACCAAAGTTCTGATGATGGTGAGTTACAGTTCCAAAAAACACAACCTAGCACGCGTATAACTCAAGTAAAACTAGTTGTTCCTTCCAATTTAAAAAAAAAATGGGATGATAACCTTAACATCCTTAGGGAAGTCCTCAAACATAGAAAGAAACCATTCCTAGTTGAATAACTCTTACCCAACAAGTAGAAAGTAGTGCCTACAGTGAAACAGAATGTATATAGTGTTTGAGAAATGAAGGAGATTCCATAGAACTGAATAATCTCAGGAAGGTAGTGGGGGCATATCACAAACTCAAACAAGCAACCCTTTGGAATCTTGTACTCCTTTTCACCGTTTTCCCTCAAGTTGGACAGAAGGTAGTGGTGGTAGAAGTTGTCAATGATGCCCACCACAAACGTCATAATGCCAGGATACAACAGATTGATTGGTGGTTCTAGAAGCACTTGTGTTAAGTGTTGAGCATAGGTCATAGTAGCAGCTGATAGGAAATAACTTAGAGTGATGGGGATTGCAGAATCAAGAGCCATTCCACCACTATATTTGTGAATAAATAGAACCTACACATCAACAATAAAAATTATGATTATAATTATTTAATGTAATTATATTCATGTTTTTGTTTTTCCAAGAGATCAGGTATTGAGATGTAGTTCATATTATTAATTCAACTTGGCCTATTAACTTGGACAGAAGTGAAATTACAAATTTAAAAACACCAGTGACAGGTACAATATCTATTTCCAACAATAAATAGTAATTATTATGTTAAAATACTTAAATAGTTTTGCTTTAACTTCTGTATTAAACAATAAATTTATCTAATTTTTATTGGTGTAGAATAAGTATCATTTTGCATCAATTTATGATCAGAGTATGACAAGAAAAATTTGGAATCTAACATGCATGGATCGATATTCTGACTCTTTAGCTAAGGCAAGGAAAAAGGCAAAAGAGAAGGCAAATTGATATAATATTCAAGACTTAAAAGGTTTTGGACCAAGAAGTATAAGGACTAAGATGTGAGCTGGATTAGTAGACATATGGGCAATGGAAGAATGGAAAAAGAAGTCCATTGCAGGTAAGGCCAATATGGCTATCAAGCCTGATGCCATGATGCACACAGGAGGATCAAGAAGCTTTGGACAACACTTTTAAATGGTATATTGTTGTCTGAATCTTGAATTGTAAATTATTTCATAGAAAGAAGAACACAAACGTCCTATTTCTTATGGTGAATTATATAGCAAAGTTCATAAAAAGAAAGATGGTGAATGTGTTAACAAAGCAAAAAATTTCATTGTAAGTGTATATATTTTATAAATATTAAATTTTGTTTATTTATAATATTGCTAAAATATTGATTTGATGTAGGAATCATATGAAAATGCTATGACGAAAAAATATGGGGAAGATACATCAAATCATCTTATAGTTGATTCTGATATTTGGATCTTGGTATTTCACATTTTTCATCTTCATCAGTTAAAGGTCCCTCTTCCCAAAATCTTACCACACCTCTCACTAAAGAAATCAGTACCTTAGCTACACAAATATCTAATTTGCAAGAGCAGATGAAAACACAGTTGTATGCACAAACTGATATGCAAGTATTGATGCAAGTACAAATGAAGACACAAGCGTAAATGCAGACACTCATGTAACAATAAATGAAATCTTTTAAGAAATATTTATTATTTGTCTTAAAGAAATGTTAAGTGGCAAAAGTTGATGTAATTATGCATTGAATTGTTATTTAACCACTTGAATTATGTTGATTCTAATATATTCTTCTCCCAATGTAGGATGAATTTGAAGAATACCTGGGTACAAGAGCAAGAATCATAATTTTCAAATTAATTAAAGAAAAATTGGAAAAAGGAAAGAAGATTTTCATCCTAAGATTCGCTCGAGCAAGGTAGACGCTCGCTTGAGCGAAAATACGTTAAAGCTCACGGAAATTCAATCGCTCAAGTGAATAATTCTCGCTTGAGCAAAAATCAACAATACTCGCTTGAGCGAATGATGCGAAATTTTTCTATAAAAAGATAAGATGTGTTTTGAGAAAGGAGAGTTGGGGGTTTTGAGAAGAAAGGGCGATAACTGATCAAGTTTTCGTCCAATCTTCAATTCTTCTTCATTAGATCATTGCAATGGCCATCATGAGTGGCTAACTTCATTCTCTTAGGATTGGGTGCACTTCCTTTGAACTCTTTTGTATCCTGGTGATATTTTGAGATATTAATCTATATTCTTGATATTGTTATTCTTATCATTTGTAACTATTAATACTTTTATCTTGGATGTTCATATATATTAGAAAATATATCTCGAAACCCTTGATTAGGTTAAGAATATTTGATATGTTGATTGCTAGGAATGGTAATAGATGTTTCTGGTATCAAGAGCAAGGGTCTTGAAAAATACTCAAGGCTTTCGGTCCAAATCTTTAATGGCTGAAAACAAATTACCTTTTTCTGAGGGAGCTTCTATTAATAGACCTCCATCTGTTTTGTGGTACTGATTATCCATTTTGGAAGATTAGGATGAAGATCTTTATTGAATCTATTGATAGGAATGTTTGAGATGTAATTGCTAATGGTCCATTAATTACGTAAAAAGAATGGTCTAGTTTAAATGATGAAGAAAAGAAAAAGTTCAAAGTGATTGTACTTGCTAAAAACATAATTACTTCTGCACTAAATATGGATGAGTTTTTCAAGGTCTCCCAATGCAAATCTGTCAAGGAAATGTGGGAAGTTCTTGAGGTTACTCATGAGGGAACAACTGATATAAAGAGAGCCAGAAAACATACTCTTATAAGAGAATATGAGTTGTTTAAAATGCAAACTGGAGAAAGTATTGCAGATGTGCAGAAGCGCTTCACTCATATCATCAATCATCTAATGGGCTTAGGTAAAACTTTTGATAAAGAAGAATTAAATATTAAATTTCTAAAATGTCTTGACAGGTCACGACAGCCTAAGGTCACAACAATCTCAGAATCAAAATACTTATCCGTCATGACAACAACCTCCTTATTTGGCAAACTCAGAGAACATGAAATGGAAATTAACAGATTCAACGAGCAAGAAGTCTATGAGAAAAAAGGTAGAAGTATAACACTCAAGGTTGAAGAAAGAAGTCAAGAATCAGAGGAGGAAAGCGAAAATCTTGGACTGCTTCTTAGAAAGTTCAACAAATTTCTTAAGAAAAAGATTCAAGATAAAGAAAAATACAAAAGGTATGAGAAGAAATCTTATTCTTTTAACTATAAATGCTATGGTTGTGGTAAACAGGGTCATGTAAGAATGGAGTGTCCAGAAAAGGACAAATACAATGATAAGAAAGAGGAAAAATTCAAAAGAAGAGCATATGTTGCATGGGATGATAATGATACTTCATCAACAGAAAATTCTGATAATGAAGAAGCTAACTTGTGTTTAATGGCAAATCAAAATCATCAAACCAGCAGTGTAAGTTCTAACTCTTCTTCAAATTTGATGAATTATAATTCATTACAAGAAGCATTTAATGAAATGCATGAAGAAACTAAGAAACTGCAAAAAGAAAATGATAGGCTAAAAGACATGAATAATTGGTTAGTGAATAGAGTAAATTCTCTTGAAAAGAAAATTCTTGAAGATGAAACTGATCTTGACTTTTTAAAATTAATCCATGATAATTCTGATTGTGTATGTAATAAACCATGTAATAATTGTTCAGAATTACAAAAGAAGATTGATTTTTTATCACAAACTGTTTCAAAGTTTACACAAGGTCAAACTAATCTTGATGTTCTTCTTGGATCACAAAAACTTATTTTTGACAAATCTAGCATTGGATTTACATCTAGCAAGAAATTCAGAAAAACAAATGTAAACAAAAAATCATACTCATCATCTATGATTAAATGTTTTTACTGCATGAAAAAAGGTCATTCTGTGAAATATTGTAGAATTAAGAAGTATGCTATTCCTAGAGGTAGAATGAAATGGATTCCCAAAAATTCATTTCAAATAACCTGATTGGACCCAGTGATTATAAAAAGGGTACCAGAAATATGCTAAATCTGTTTTGCAGGAACAAAATCTAGAAGTCCCTTGGTGTTCAAAACAACAAATTTGGTTCTGGTTTCATAAACTGAATGTTTTAATTGATATAAAACAGTTTTAATCGATTAAAATCACTTACAGAAAATACTAGAAAAGCAATTCGTAAAGTTTTAATCGATTGAAATACGAATCAATCGATTAAAATGTTCTCAAGAATTTAGTCTAGCTGTTTTAATCGATTAAAAAGGATTTATATCAGCTAAAATCACTAAGATGTCAAATTTAATCGATTCTTCTTCGTTTTAATCGATTAAAATTCTGTTATCACATTATTAAATTCTTCTAGTACAAAATTAATCGATTATGTTGTGTATTAATCGATTATTTCACTGTTGCATTTTCAAACCTAGTATTAAAGATCAAATTAATAGGTTAATTTTTTGATTAATCAATTAATTTGTTCTTGAAAATCATTTTTACGACATCCAATTGAAAATTGGTCAGCAAATCAGAGTCAAAATTTCAAGTTTTTGTGTTAATCAAAATCTGCATAAATATTCTTTGACCAAGTCAAACATCTTTCCAAGAACACTTTAGCTGATGTACCCACTCGTCCGAAACCTCGCCTCCGCCTTCGATCAAGGGGACATGTGTAATTAAAGTCGTTTTTGCGGGTTCGTCAAATTGGATCGTAATTCACAAAATTTGACATCCGTGACTCTTCATTTTGCTCACTTGAAGTCCATTATTCTCATTCTTCATTTTCTGGTTCAAATTCCTTCTCTCTTCTTTCTTGTATTCACGTTTCAAAACCCCTCTCTAAACTATACAACAAGATGCTTAGGAGATCAAAATCAAGAAAGAAGCATAAAGGAGAATCTTCCTCTGCTGCCAATCCTGGTGGTCATTTGGAAGCATGGTTTAATGGTGATATTGGAAGAATGAACATCTTCATTACTGAGCTCAGTCAGAAGCAGATTGTAATTCCAAAGTTTATCAAATTCAAGTGGCTTGATGAAGAAGGATTTACTGGTCTGAGAAGAAAACTGAAAAGTGAGAAACTAAGAACCTTCATGGAGTTTACTGGGAATATTCAACCTGATTTGGTTTAGGTCTTTTGCTCCAATTTAACAGTGAATGGTTCAACAATCAGATCTCAGGTGAAGGGAGTTAATATGGAAATTACTCTCTCTGTTTAAGAACAAGTTGCTGGTCTCAGGGATAGTGGTGTCAAAGTATCCAGAGGGAACATCTCTGAAATACCTGACTTCAACAAAATACAATTTTTCAGGTCTTGCCTTAAGGATCCAAATGATTCGGTAAGAATTTTAAATGCTAGAAAACTTTTACTTGAACATAGACTGCTAGCTTTCATTGTGGCATGAATGCTTACTCCAAGAGGGAGTAATCATGCTCTACTTAATGAGGGAGATCTTGCCCTCATGTACTGCATCTCTAATAATATTCGGGTAAAT